GTGGACTGGAATAGAAACCAAGCTAAAATTGAACGTCGGTTCTCAAGCCGCCGGCGTACTGACGGCACTTGAGCCGCGCCACCCCCCACGGCTCGGCGTAGCGAATGAGTTAAGTGTTTAAGGCCATTGACCCACATCACATCATATAAAACACTCATTTGTTAAATAAAGTTTCCATAATGAAAAAATACAGGTTGTGCACTTGCCTCATATCATGGGTCAAACATTGCATATTTATGTCACTGGGCTAGGTCAGGTGGGAGGAATTAACAATTTCCTTTAATTGACAAAGGATGGAAAATAGAAAATAAAGTGAAATTCAACAATAGGGCAGTTAAGTAGAAACAAAAACGAGGGAGAAGACCTCACCAGATCCCTAAGTTTGAGCGACGTTGGAGAACAAAAGCAAGCGAAGTGACTCATTCAGTTTCAAATACATACAAGCTTTTTGTGAGTTTTTTGTCACCCCTGGTCTCACAGTCTTCTCTGATGACCAAAAAAAAAAAAACACTTGGAGATTCTGTCTGTGTTTATATTGTGCAGCACCTTGAGAGTTCAAAAAGAGCAGACTGGAGGAGGCAAAATTCCAAATAAGTTTCCAACTTAAAGTGGAAGAAACTAGTGTTTATAGATAATTGAGAATACTTCCAAAACTAGCTTATGACTATCTGAAAGGAGATGTACACTGTATTTTTGTTGGAAACATGGCTGCGTACAGGAAATCCTGTTGTACAAAGGATTGAACAATTTACAAGAAGAAGAAGAACATTCTTCTCAAAATGTTGTGACTGCACTTCATATTGTTCGACTAACATTCAGGTAAAGAGATAAGTTAGATTAGAATCATCTGTTCTAATTATCATATGAACATGAGGACAAGAAACATTTCTACAGACCACATTATAGATCTAGTCTTCCAAAATAATTTTTCTTTCATATTTTCAAACAGTTACGAGTATCTTTAAGAAAAGGTCACTCCTAGCAGTTGGTTGGAGGGAGCTACTGGTTGGTCCTACTTCTTCTTTTTCAAGTTGTTGCTCCTGTCTGTCTTCCTTACTTTTATATACCTCCTAACAAATCTGTTATTGTGTTGATATGCTTTTCTGTACTTTAAGGAAGCAAACAAAAGTTATGTCTCTTTAAAAAAATGTTTATTGTGATGTATGATTGCAGATGATGATACCCCGAGTGGTTTTCCTGAGGTGGTCTTTGAGCTGAAGAATCTGACGTATCTGTCGCTGCAGTACCAGGCTATTGTCAGTGTGCCAGAGGGGATTGGCAAGTTGACCAAACTGCAGAATTTACAACTGGGAAACAACCCTAACCTTTTGTCAATATCAGCTCAGATGGGTGCCCTCCCTCTGAAACGTAAGTTTTGGATTTTATCATTTGAATCACAACGCGGTGGAATCCGGCCCTCGTCAATTTTGGGCATTTAGAGGTATTAATATCATCTTAAAGTTTGTTCATATGTGTTGCGTTTGGGGGGGGGAAATGTTCTTCTATTTTTAATAAAAGTTGATATATTTGCAATTGAAGGAGGTAGGGGGTCGCTTTGTGTGAGAAGTAAAATTTGTTGTGTCTTTATTCAAGGTTTTATGGTAACATCCACAAAGCTATGTGTTTTTAAAAGGACATAAAAGGTATTGAGACCCCCCAAAAAAATTCTTTAAAAAGTGCCCAATGCCCAGAAAAATCCTGATTTCTTTGATTTCCTTGTTTTGATGAGCACCAGATTTCACCATGCTGCCTCACATGTAGCTGAATTTTTATAACCATGATTTCAGTCATTCTAAAGGCAACATACTCAGTCTCTCACAAGTTCACAATGTTGAGACTAAAATATCACTTGAAGCTTCACGAATACGAAATGGTCTTCTTGCAAGTGTTGTTGATGAAGTTATCACCCTTCAGGACTGTCCTCTGTAGTATAGCAGTTAGGCTCTTTATTGATGCTTGCAGAAGATGTGAGTTTGATTCCTGTGTGGGGAGTTTTTTAAAACCGAGTGTCTCCATCCATCTGCTAGGATGTAGTATCCCTGGGTTAGATCTGATATGCTGGGTTGAAGCAGTGTGCCTCCTGAATGATGTAAATTATGTTGGTGAGGGCGTAAAGCATCCACAATTACATTGTTTACACCCTTCTAGAATCAAAATAGGTAACTTTGAAGATGGAGCATTTAACTTCCGAAGCCACTCTAGTCAGTAGAACTCTTAAGAGTACCTTCGAAACTGGCATGTAGCTGATTCTTCATTCTATGTACAGGAAAACAGTATGTAAATAAAAATCAACTGCTCTGTGAGAAGAAGATCTTACAATCAGTTAGCCCCTAAGCTCTTGAAAAAGTATGCTGAAAAGAAGAAGAAGAAGAAGAAGAAGAAGAAGAAGAAGAAGAAGAAGAAGAAGAAGAAGAAGAAGAAGAAAAAGAAGAAGTCTGTCTGTCTGTCTTGCTTTTTCTCTGTGTAAATGGTTGCTATTGTGTTTATTTGTTTATTCTAATGTAAACAGATAAACATACTGTTACTTCTCTCAGCTCATGTCCTATCTCATCTCATGTCATCACCTCTGCTTCTCTTTCACTTTCACCAAAGGATTGGAGCTGGAAGGCTGCCCCTTGCTGAAAACTCCTCCGAAAGAAATCCGCCTGAAAGGTTTCCAGACGACCTTGGCCTACCTGAAGAGACTGCTCAGTGGGTCAGTGACCTGCAAGAGAACAAAACTCATGCTGGTTGGCCTGGGAGGAGCGGGAAAAACCAGGTGTGTTTAGTAGTTGTAGTGGAGATTAATTTATGTGTACCATTATTTTGTGTTAAGTTTGATTTTATCTTCCTTTTAGAAAGGAGGAGGAGGAGGAAAAGGAGTGAAGGAGGATGAGGAAGAAAGAAGAGGAGGAATATAGTTTGTCTCTATTGCTTCCTTTCCCTGTACCAACCACCCCCCTCTCCCCCCCCCCCCTCCCCCAATCTCCCCCTCTCTCATTCCCCTCCCGACAACCCAACAACTCGGAGCGCCCTACTTCCTTTTTCAATGGGTTGAGTGAAGGGGAAAGGGGGGAGGGGGGGGGCGGGCTACTATTTAATTCTCTGAAGTCCAATAGGGGGTGCAATAACTAAAGAGTGAAAAAAAACCACTTACAGTATAACACGGATAGCTCGAATTCATCCGGACCGGCGTCGGTACTTCGAGAGATCCATAGTTTGAGGGATATCTTACAAAGGTAAAGAAGAAAAAAAACGCAACCCCTGGCACAGTTCGACGGGTGCGTGATTTCGAGTCTTCTGTGTTCAAACTATCCGTGTTATACTGTATGAACATCTGTACTCATGTGTACAGTATGTATTTGAACCTACTCTAACGACCACCTGATCAAGACAGTCACCTGTACAAACAAATATTTCTCTCTTCCTCCCTTGCGCTTTTTCCTATATGTATCACGATGTAGTGGAATCAGGCTCTCATCAAGTTTGGTGCATGTAGAGTTATTGGTATCATCTTAAAGCATGTTCATTTTTTTTGCTTTGGATGAAAAAAATATCAGTTTATCCTGGATTCAAGTCGAGATATTTGCGAATGAAGGAGGTGAGGGTCATCAGGTTTCAGAGTAAAATAAGTGAGAAAATGGCTGCCAAAGATTAGTTATTTCCTCAGCTTGAGAGTCTGTGGAAACTGAAAATTTACATTTTTTGTGCCTTTTATCAATGTTTTTCAGTAAAATCCAAACAGAAATGTGTTCTTTTATGAGCATGAAAGCTGTTGAGCCAAAAAATAAGAATTCAATAAACAATTCACAAACCTGCGGAAAAATGCCAGTTTCTTCACTTTGATTATTTTGACGAGCGCCTGATTTCACCACGCTGCCTCACATATTATGATGACACTATTCAGGACATCTACCTGTTGAGACAAATAGAATTCTCTCCAACAGCGGGTGGCCTTTTTGGACAATTTTGACAGTATGTGACATGTATTTTAATGGGTTGGGTTTTTTTTCTACTTTTCTTCCTCCTTCTCAACTCTTACCACTGGCACTAGATGTGACGTTACTCCTTGGAAATAAGCTATCTTTCTCTCTCTTCCTTCCATCACTGGGATGTCATAAGTGGTCAGCAATGCCGACAGCACGCAGGAACTCATCACTTGCTGGGGGGTCCTTGAACAGTGCTGATCAAGGGTCGTTGAAATGTCTCAGCAGGCTTGTTTTGACACGATATTTGGCAGAACATTTTGAGAATATATGGTCCGTAGTCTCGTTCTCCTCTTTGCAGGCTTGACAGGACGGACCTTGTTATGTGTGGTTAAGACCAAACAATTTTCAAAATAATGGTTTTGGGGGTAAAGTACTTTTAGTCCCATTCAGCACAACTCAAGCTTTTCTATGTATTTGCAGCCTGGTGAAAGCTTTGCTGAGTGGGAAGAATAAAGCAAATCTGGATGCAGCTGAGGAAATCACAGATGGTGGGTATTGGTCTCCACCTCTCTGCACATCTTACTTTACCAGTGTAGCTGCTAATTTTTCTGGCAGTAGAATGATTGCTATGTTGTAATTAAAGCCCGGTACCCACTAGCAGTGGCTCTGGCACATCCCTTTATTAACACTTGGTCATAAAATTACTTTTCAGCATTTGCCAAAAACAGGTTTTTTACCTGGAGTTCATTCATTAGTTAAAGAACTATCAAAATACATTCACTTGTTTTGATTTAATGACCAATTTAGTGACATACATGTCACTTTTTAAATTCATACTGAAAGAGGGTCCCGGCAGAGTGGGTTTACCTCCTTCGGAGATAAAGAGTAAAACTGAGGAGTCATGAAACCCTCAAGGGGTGTAACTAAAAAAAATATTAAAAATATAAAACTGTTTGTAGTTTTCACATATTTTTTTTTAGCCCTCTCAAGTTTTTGTTGGTTATTGAATTCAGAGCAAAAACCAGTTTCTTCATGTATCTTTCTAGGTATTGACATTTGCCCTTGGACTGTGTCGACTGATGAAGGAGACATCACCTTCAGTGTATGGGACTTTGCTGGGCAGACAGTCTACTACAACACCCATCAGGTCAGCTAGTTTCCATAAATAGAGTATGACATGGTATTGTCTCTTTCTATTAATCAAGTTGATGTGCAGAAATAATGGATGAATTGAAAAGAAATAAGGCTTACCAGTGGCACTCTCCACTCATTCACAGACACATCAGCAAAAAATAATTGAACATATTTGTATGCATATTTCAGTTTTTGAATTTGTACTGCCGTACATGTACATCACTGGCATGCAAGAGACCTGAGTTCAATTCTCATGTGGGTAGAATTTTTGTAGAGTATCTCAGTCCTTCTGCTGGGATGTTGTGTCCCGGGACGTTGTGTCCCTCTCTGCCCAGATTGACCCAGACAGGCAGGGTCAAATCCATCATCGTAAATGATGTAGGCCCCTAAATTGTGTCAGAGGGAGTGTAAAAAACATCAACAAAAAAGAAACACAATTCCTCCCACTCCCTCAAAAAAAAAAATCGAAACAAAAAAAAACAACAAAAAATCACACACATGTGCATTCTATGGTTATTCCAAGACTTGTTTCAAAACTATTTCAGTTCTTCCTGTCGGACCGTGCGGTGTATTTTCTCACCTGGAACATCCGCCTTGGTCATGAGCATGCTGGCCTAGACTTCTGGCTCAACTCAATATCTGTCCATGCACCCAAAGCTCCAATATTTGTGATTGGCACACACTTGGATCAGGTGAGACCGCTCTCTTTTCACCATTTGATTCAAAATCATTATGTTTTTCTGATGAAGATTTCAAAGTTATTATTTCAATAAGGAAAATTAAAGAAAAATTCTCTCTTGACATATAATTTTTTTGGAAATTGGGAAAATTTTATAACTAGTTTTTGGTTATAATGTCATACATATGCTTTTCTTTTCATTTAAAAGAAAGTACATTTTGTATTGTTGTACATAATTTCATTTTTACTCAAACACCATTTACTTTACTGGCAGAGGGGAAAAAATGTGATACCAAAGTTTACAGAATTATTTTAGGAAAATGGTTTTAGGCTTTTGTAAAAATTTATACATTTTCGAAGTTATGTCAATATTCTCTCCACAGTTAATGGTAATATTAATCTGAGCACTAAATTACAATAATCTTTCTTGGTCATAAAGAATGATGAGAGCCTGAAAATTTAAGGCAAGGGACTGTCTATTGACAAATTTATTCAAGATGTATAAAAAATCAACAGTTATTTTAGGGCCATAGAAAGACATGACTCACTTTGGAAACTGGTAATAATAGGAAAGATGGAAGGGGTAACTATCAATACAATAGAGAGAGAGAGAGGGGGGGGGGCAGAAAACAGGGCAAAATAATGTGGGATCCACAGAGATGTGTTTTCTCACAGAGATATGCAAAGATGATGATAATGATGAGCCCAATGCCATGCACATGAATTGGATGTAACATAACATACCTTCTGCCTCTTGAATACTTTGTTCTTGTTGAAAAAAGTGTTATGTAAGCAAAACCGTTTCATTATTGCAGGTCTCCAAAGTGGAGCTTCCAATGAAGGAGTTGCAGGCAAAGTATGTGCAGATTTGTGGTTTCCACTTTGTGTCTGCTCACACTGGTCAGGTGGGTCTGCTGATGCTGTGTTTGAACAGGGTTTTTTTAAATGTCCCATCGACATAATTTCGAACATTTAAGAGGTGGGATTTTACCCTGTCTACCAGGGCCAGCCTGGACTGAGAAGTATACATCATACCTGTGGAAATTTTTGATGAAATATGAAACTATTTTCCCCTGCTCATAGAAGAGGGTTGCAATATCTAAAGAATTTTTTTGCAGGTTGAAACCTATCCTCTCAAATAGAAACATAACAGTGAACCCCAAAATGAGAACTCTGAAAGTGTATGTATGATCAATCCTTTTATATGGATGCATGAGCTGGACTCTAAACAAAGACACAGATAGAAGGCTGGACTCTGCTGAGATGTGGTATTTAAGGAGAATACTCAGAATCTCATGAACAGATAGGAAAACAAATAGAGAAGTGCTCCTAATGTCAGGTTTTGAAAGATCTATAATTATCAAAACAATCAGAAAGATACAATTGAGATTCTTTGGACACATAAAAAGATCAAATGGACTAGTGAAGCTGCTGCTGTGTGGAAAGATAGAAGAAAAGAACAGCAGAGGAAGAGAAAGAACGACATACGCAGATGACCTTAACAACTTTGCAATGAATAGCACAAAGAGAAAAATTGAGCTGATCAAGAAGACAGACAACCGGAAGGAACAGGGTGCCTTGAACGTCAATGTCTGCTCCAGACCTGATACCTGAAGAAGAAGATGGAAGATGGGCACTAATTTCCAGGCAATCCTTTTAATGGATCATACCAAGTCAAGTGACAATGAACCCTGCAGCTGAAAAAAAAACCAAAAGCTCTAGAGATTCTTCTTTTCTCTTTTTATGCAGGTTTATCTTGGAAAGTTTTTAAAGCCGTTTTCTAAAAACATGTCCTTCAGTTCCCTGTACGTATGAACATGTTATCACTTTCTACAGAATACTCCAGTTGTCACTGAAATAAAGTACAAAATGCTCAAGAAAGATGAATTTTGGAGGTATTTCTAAAGGTCCATTCTGACAATGTTTGCTTTGCATTAGGTTTTCTCAGAGCTACACACATATTATCATAGGTGGATGAACATTTTAAGAGATTCTAAAACTTCAAACCATCAAAGCAGTTTTATATTTCTTACCTTCTTTCCTCAGGGTATTGAAAAGCTCCAAGAGCAACTGGCAGAAGTGACCTTGATGCAACAATACATGGGAGAGAAGATTCCAGGAGTCTGGCTCAACTTTGAGGAGAACTTGAAAGAGTTGGTCCTTTCTTCTTTGACTTCTTTTTCTCTTTTCATCTTTGTTCTTATGCTTTTTCTTCTCCCCTTTCTTCACCCCTTTTGTCTTTGTTTTTTCTTTTTTCCCACTGCTATATTTTTTTGGCAGTTTCCTTCAGTAAGAAGGGGGCTCTCGTGGCCTAGAGGTTAAGGTGTTCGCCTTTAATTCAAAGGTTCAGGGTTCGAATTCTGGTAGAGACGGACATTTTTTTTCTCTAAATTGTCTCTTTTCACCTCCTTTCCTGCTCTCCAGCAATGTTCTGTCGTCTGCTTTTGCTTCCACTTTCTGCCCCACCCCCTCAACTCCTTTGCCCGCTCCTCTTTCTGCAGCCTTTCTTCTGCTTCTCCTTGGCTCCTACTTACTGCTGTCTTTCAGCCACACCCCTGATCTTCTGATAGGAAAGATCTACACCTAGCCTTTTTGGACAAGGGCGAAAAATCTCGGAGGTCCCGTGTGCGAGTTCCGCACGTTAAAGATCCCTTGGTGGTCCAAAATCGATAAGAGTAGGCTTAGGCAGCACTCAGGCTAAATTAAAAATTTCCTACCTACTGAAAATGTTTAATGTGTCTCGCACGCTCATATGACCTTTTGCAATTGTGAGCGTTGTTAAACGCTTACTGAAAAAAAAAAGAACCTACTTCAGTAAGAGTGTTGTTAACTTTCTTTTATGTTTGCAACCTTAAAATAATGTTCCTGGGCTCTCAAGCTATCCTTGGAAGCTTTCGTGTCTTTTTGTGTTTTGAAAGAAGAAAGATAAAATTTGTGCTGAATCTTCTTGAATTCCTAGACATTTACATTACATGTAAAAATGTGCAAATCAGCTCTGTAGCACCCAGATACTTCTGCGTAGAGCTTATTAGTATGAAGCTCAAATGTATGCAATCTCAGATTAATGGTTCAAGTTCACTTTAGAACTGGAACTGTTCTTTTGAAATGATGTCTGTAGAAATATTGCACACAATTGCTCTCTGATAAAAAAAAAAAAAGGATCATACAAGTGCATGGCCAGTATATCTTTCCTCTCATGTGTTTGTTACATGTGTTGTAGTGTTGTACCAGCCCAAGGCCTGGAAGTACTTCCCTTGGCCTGAAACCTTCCTGGGATCTCTTCGCAGTTGTGTGTGAGCAATTGTGAATTGCTACAACTTGTCATAGTAGAATGATAATGTATAAAATTCTAAGAACTTTTCTATGTTCTTGTTCTTTGGTACTTAATCTCAGTTTTGCCAAAGTCTACCTTATATCTTCTCAAAAATCAGAAACATTCTTTTTCTGGCTTTAACATCATTTTTTGGTAATGAATTCCCCCTAAACAAAATGTGCTTGTTGGCATAGGGTTGTCAAGGCAAACACTTTTTTTTTGTTAAGAGGACATTGCCATCCACTAGATATAATTGTAGCCGAAACTTCATCAGCTTAATGTAGTATCACTCTCGCTTTAAGCTCAGCGCAAGGCCAAAAAGTCGGGAACAGACTACAACACTTTGATTTTACCCTAACGGCCAAGAAGTGTTAGGGCAAAACTTTAAATGCATGATTTTGTACATGGTCATGTTATCAAGCCATTTTCCCTTGGAAGATGAGAAAATCTTCTTGTTGACAATTTGCTACCTCAGTAGTGCAAAGTCCCATCTGACATTTTTGACAGTTTTGAGTTCCTAAGACCATGAGGTAAGAAACCAAAAGTTCTTTCTGCTCTATCAAAATTGTACGATTATCCGGAGTCATTACAGAGATATTCAAAGAATTGCATTCGTAAAAGCTTTACGGGTTGTGAAACTCAAAATCTTTCATGTCAAATTTCTTAAAACTAGGTACTTGGCAAGAATCAAGTTATAATAACGTTGTGCTTTCACATTCATTTGATTATTGGTAAAGAACTTGAACAGTGTGATTAAAGCTTTCCACTGCCCACCAGAGAACAGCACTGCCAAGAAGATTCTCTTAGATTGTAAAAGTAGAATTAACTCTTAACAGTGACTTAAATACAAAATGTTCCTCTTTCAATGCATGTACCACGTTCTTTCAAGATTTTACTATTAATGTATTTTTATGAAAAAGACATGCAGATGCAGTTAGTATTTTTAGCCCACCCCGTTTTTCTCTTTGCTCTTTTTTGTGTTGGTTGATGTTTGAAAACCATTTTTTTGTCTGCCTGCTCCGTGCAGAAGCCCAATGTTTTCATATAAGAGCAATAAATGAGGGGGGGGGGGAGGGCGAATGTGGCAAACTGAAATAACCAATGTTTTTGTCTTTGCTTTTCAGAATTCAAAACAGAAGTGTGATTCTTTACAAAGAGCTGGAAACACGAGCCAATCGTTCTGGAATCTTTGATAGCACAGAAGTACGTTTAATTTTGAGATTTGGAAGAATAGGTTGTGTGATTTATTCTGCAACAATTTTAGAGGTCTGCTGTTTGATTTTAAGGTCTTTTATTCTAAATTTGGTCATTCTACTATTTTGTGTTCTTGCAATATTTTAATTATTTAATTGAGGAGATTTTTCTCTTAGAATCTCTCCCTTTAATCCTCCCCCCCCCCCCTCTCATATTTCATTCATCTGGAAAACTGATTTGATTTTTGCTTTGGTGAACCATTCACTTGGTTAAGAAGTGCTGAGTAAAGTAAATCTCTATAGAATACAGTAACCAAGACAGTTTTTAAAATCATAGTTCAACTTATGTTAAAGTTTCAAAGTGATATTTTGAAATAAGTGAACACGCATGAGCGTGAGTGTATGAATGCATGTGTGTGTGTGTGGGTGGGGGGGGGGGGGGGATGGGTGTTGGTGTGTGCACATGTTGTGTTGGTGCATGTTTGAATGTGCATGTATGTGCACGTGTGCATGTGTGCATATGTGTATGTGTGTGTGTGGGGGGGGGATAGGTGTGGGCATGTGCACATGTTGTGTTGGTGCATGTTTGAATGTGCATGTGTATGCGCTTGTGCATGCATACGTTTGTATATGTGTATGTGTTAGTGTGTGTGTGGCATGTGCGCGTGTGTGTATATGTATGTGTATATGTGGGTGTGTGTCTACATGCCCACGCACAATTTTCTGTGTGTTCCCAATTTTTAAATCTATAAACAATTGAAAACATTCGGTCGTTTCCAGGTAGCGCAAGCTGTCCAGTTTCTCCACGAGCTGGGCTCACTGCAACATTTCTCCAGCGCAGGACTCCGGACCCATGTGGTGATCAACCCACAGTGGATCGTCGATGTGATGGCGTGCGTGGTGTCTGTCAAGGACTCTCACATCAAGGTACACCAACTGGGTCATCGTCTCCAGCTGACTGGTCAACCACTCTTTGTTTGCAAAGATACTTTGAACAGTCAAACTTCCTCAAGCAGCCACCTGTTCTAGACACTCTTTGTTTGCAAAGATACTTTGAACAGTCGAACTTTCTCTTACAGCTGACTGGTCAAGATAATCACCTGTAAAAACGACCTCTTCTTTTTCAGTTTGTTTAACCCCTTCACTTTCAAGCCTGAGAATGTCTTGTGCTCTTTGATTGGATTGAGGAGCAGGCCTGGCAGTGAATGGGTTAAACGAATGATCTTTTGAGCAAAGGCATACACTTTTCTACAAACATAATGTACAAAAGCAGAAATACATATACACAGATACTTGCAAACACTCTCATCGGGATGTCTATGTTATTTCTCTCTGTTTTCCCTGACACAGGAAGGCCGCCTGAATCACTCAGATATCAAGCAAGTGTGGAAAGACTATGACACATCTCTGCACAACTGGCTTCTTAAGCTGACAGAGGAATTTGACCTGACTTTCCCTCTGAAGAATGAAAAAGTGAACCTTGTCCCATGTTTGCTGCTTGAGAAGCAGCCAGAGGTATAGCAGTTTGAAAAATTATTCACATTGTATTTTCTTCTTGCAATAGTCTGAGCTTTACTTTACTTTTATCCGCCGCTTATACTCTTTTGGGTGTCGCGGGAAGAAAGAGGCGTCTCTCTGTCGCCAGCCGGAGAGCTTGGGTCAGGGGGATGCCGTGGGCGGTTAATGTTTCCCTGACTCTATCTATCCAGGTCTTTCTCGGATGCCCTCTAGCCTTGTTGCAATCAAATTTTTTTTAATGTAGGCATGTTGTGCTGGATGGTGTGTTGGTAATCGGAGGAGATGTCCGTACCATTTGATTCTTTGGTGTTGGATGTGATGCAAGACATCATTTGTGCCCACCATTTCTCGGATTACTAAGTTTCTAATTTTGTCTCGCCTGGTCTTGTTTACTGCTTTTCTAAGACATCGCATTTCACATGTTGTAATTCTTAGCTCTCATGTCTTGTTCGTGGTCTATGTTTGGCATTGATAGGTGAGTGTTGGGATAAATATGGTGTTGATCATTTTGAGTTTTGTTGTCATGGGGATGTTAGGATGTTTCAGTAGTGGAGTAAGCTGGTAACTAACACAATAAACAATAGTGTGAGCACAAAGTAAATATTCAATACGCAAAGCGGCATTTTGCTAATCAGGCTCGGGGAGAAAACGTGTTTTTCAGACAGATATCAACGTTCACGTATTTTTACTTCTTGAAATTGAAGAGAATTGTGATGGTTGTGCGCTTATCTCTCTCACAGTTTGAATGGCCTGAGATGGACAAAGGAGGCTACAACAAGGAAACTAAAATTGTGTACAAATTTGACTACTTACCTGCAGGTCTCTTCAACAGGGGTCAGGTATGTGCAGAAAATTTGAATAAGTTTATGTTAAGAAGCTGTGGCTGTAATGAAGTTACAGATGTCATATTTGTCACAACACAGAAAAATCAGGCACTCGTCAGTTTTGGGTATATGATGTTATTGATATAACCTTAAAACTTGTTTATTTGTCTTGCTTTTAATGAAAAAAAACAATTCATCTACCTTGAATAGAAGTTGAGATGTTTTTGATTGAAGAAGGTGGGGATCACCTGCTTTCATGGATAAAATTAGTGAGAAAATGGCCACTTTCAAAGCTTGAGAATTACTGGAAACTGCAATGTGCTACCAGTGACCATGAAATGTTTACAATGTTAGCAGGGAGTCCAAGGTAATTGTTTGGTTAGTTTATGCTATGCTCACTGTCAGATTTAGCTTTGATTCTCTTTCCTTCACTTATTCCTACAGGTCAGACTGCACCAGTTCTGTGATAGTTCTCTTATCTGGAAGCGGGGATCATATCTGAGAAAGAATGCCCATGTTTGTCTTATTCATCAGTCAAGGTGTGCACTTGAAGTTTCACATATTATTATTCATCATTGACTCGTTTCATTAGAAATAACTTATGGGCATTCATGAACTTACATGGAATGACAGAAATATGGGTAGATTATTTAAAAGTAAAATAAGCCTTCTGTTTCACGGGGTACAAATACTATAAATTGTTGCATTAGAATTGTGAGAGTTTTGATTAAAAAGGCATGTACATTTTATTCCTCTGTAAATGCAATGGAGTGTTATTTTGTTAAAATGCATTGTAGCATTTTCAAGAAAAGGTAAAGAATTTCTACAACTGGTGATGTGGTACTCATGTTCACTTACCGTATAATATTTATCTCTGTTAGGAATGTGTTCTAAAAGCTTACTGCTAGTAAGCTTCTTCACTGCCAATGCTGCTAAATTTACCTTTTCTTTCTGAAGAGATGGTCTTTTGAAACCTGAACAGTTACTTTTGTAATTCTGAGAGGAGTGCATGATGTTTCATAACCAAGGTTATTGACTTCTTTAGAAGGTCTTAAAGAATGCTAGAAAAAGTAGTAAGAAATGTATTTCTAGTTGAATAAACAAAATTGCTCAATAACACCCATAAATCCATGACAATTACAAAGAGACTTTCATATGTACAACATAAAAAATCATGTTAATGCCCTTTTTTTCAGGGGCTCTGAGTTGACTGTGAAGGCTCATGGACCACGCCCGGAGAATATTGTCTTTCTGGTGCATGAGGTTTTTGAGACGCTTATACTGGAGTCATTCCAAGGCATCACCTATGACTTCTTCATGCCCTGCCCTGACTGTATGAGACTGGTATGGGCCTGGCATGTTATGTTTGCTGCTGAGTACCATTGTATGCTGAAATGCAATCAGTATAAATCACCCGTCCTCACTCAACCCTTTAAGTGTTGTAATATTCAATCCTTGAACTCTGGTAATCTTCAATCCTTAAACAGTGGTAGGCCTATTATTCAACCCTTGAACAGTGGTAGGCCTTTTATTCAATCCTTGAACTGTGATATTCAATCCTTGAACTGCAATATTCAGTACTTGAACTCTGGTAATATTCAATCCTTGAACTATGGTAATATTCAACCCTTGAACAGTGGTTATATATAATACTTAGAACTTGTGGTAATCATGAACTGACAACTACGGTTAATGGTTTTGTGTTGTTATCATATTTGCTGACACATAATCAGCTCCTGGAAGTTTATGAATATATATGTCTATATCAAGATTTCTGAAGATGGGTACTCAAAGCATTTGTGCAACCAAAATACGTAGAACATTGTGCTAATTCATAGGAGCTTGTTATTTCGTTCTCTTTTCAAGCTGTTTGTCATCCCCTTTGATTTTTGTGATATTGCTGTACAAAATTTTTTTCACCTTATAACGTGTCAATTTTCATCTGTATCCTCTTCCTCTCAATGTCTTTGTCTACATGTTATAGTGATTGCAGGAATTGCATACGCATATCTGAAAAGTTTAATATAATAATTAAATTACAGTGGGTGTTTATAGGATGAAAGGGAAAAAAAAGATGTGTTCAAAAATGCATTTTGTAAGATGACAGTTGTTGTCATGTTTCTTTTGTTTTGTCATTAAATTTTGTCTTTTTAATGAGATGGTTAGGCTAGCGGACTCGTAATCATGAGGTTGCGGGATCGGGAGTTCGAGCCACGGGCCTGACGTTGTGTCCTTGGGAAAGGCACTTTACACAAATTTTCCTCACTTCACCCAAGTGGAAATGGGTACCCGGCCATAGACAGCAAAAGATCTTGTCAGTATGTTAGTGCTTTAGCGCCTATAAATGGCTGCTTGCACTGTATGCTTCCCAGAAAATTAGGTTTGTTTCAGAATGCTCTCAGGTCTGCTGGGGTAATAGTATAGATTGTGAAGCGCACAGAGCTTGCTGTTGAGCGGGGATTTGCGCTATACAAATGCTATCTATTATTATTTTTGTCTCTCTTATTCTCCAGGGAGTGAAAGAACCTCACATGTTTGCTGCCTCCATCATTAGGAGGGCGACTGAGATGAAAGCCCCTTTCCTTCAGTGTCTGAAAAACTTTCACACCATTTCCATAAGGAATTTACATGGTAACAATTTGGGGTTATTTCCATTTCATTTAAAGATTTACAAGATAGTAGAATCATATCTTCCAGTAGAAATGTGTATAGGTTAAAAAAATCATATGTTTTACTAAAGTTTCTTTGTGGCTGAAAGAAGTTTAGGAGAATTATGAAGTAACTTATACAATTCAGTCGAGCAGAAATGTAGGCTTATGTTTTTGTAGTTATGAATCAAATAAATTGTTTGTCCTTTACCCCATCTTCCCTCTTCCATAACCTTGTGGTCTGTCATGAATTTGTGAATATTTATATTAGATTACCATGTCTGTACATAATCACATGATTTATATAGAACATTTACCAGATAATAAAGAAAAATTCATATGAGAATGGTAAGACTTCTTAATTTGTAAGTGGTTTCAGCTATTCATTAAAATCCAGCTCTGTTGCCAAGTGTTCAAGACACTGTAGTTGTTTTTCTTTACGTAAGAAGACAAATTCAAGTTGTAACAAATTATTTCAAGGTGGTAAAAGTGGGAAGGATCGCTGTTTCGTATAGAGTTGGGGAAATATCTGCAGATTGACATTTCTGTCTAAGAAATGCTATTCCACTCTAGCTGGGGTCCACAGCTTTGCTCACATGGCGGAGAAGAGATGAGAAGGTTTCCTGACACAATTTACCATAAAAATTCAGTATGAAATAGCTAAAGAATTGAACCTTTTGAGGAAACACTAAATTGTTTTGCGATAGATTTCAGTTAGTTTTTGAAAGTTAATGCTAAATTGTTTATTGTGTCCTGTATTTTCTTAATCTTTTAAGTAGTCTTCAGTTTGTGCTGTTTGGCCGACATTGTGACCTGAGTCTTTTTGTTATACAGCCCCCCCCCCCCCCCTTTTTGCCATGTGGCCTCATGACTTTTTTGCAGCCTTTCTACTGCTACTCCTTGGCTCCTCCTTACTGCTGTCTTTCAGCCATACCCCTGA